GGAGGAGGAGGAGGAGGAGGAGGAGGAGGAGGAGGAGGGATTTCAGGGAAAGTCTGAGATGGGCTGTGTCCTTTCTCAGGGAAGAAGGGAGCAGAGGTTGGTTGTGTTCAGCAGAGGACATCCTGCCTGGGTGACAAGGACTTCGGAGAACAAACCTCAACCACAGTAGGCGGCTGAACAAGTCCCCCAGCTCAAGGCTGACCTCAAGAAGTGTCACAAGCTCAGACAGAACCCTCTGCGGTCCTGGTCCCCAGCGTCCCCCTCCCCATCCCCCTCGGGCCCAGTGCGCTGCCTGATCTCTAACTGCCCTGCTCCTTTCTTCCCTCTGTCACCTCTGTCTAGGGAGGATGCAGCCTGGCAGGTCCCCCTGCCTGTGGCCTGGATGCCCGCCCCCACCCCCGGGAGCAGGGGTGCTCAGAGCACTGGGCAAAGAGTCACCCCAGCTCTGGTTCAAATGCACGTTCCCAGGGTGAATGGTCGGAGATTCCGATTTCCTGGGGCTCAGGGCCCAGAACCCTGGGGGGCTCTGACTTATGTGGCACCTCAAGAAACCCTCTGATGACAGGTGATCCTCCAGGGCCCAGGCCCGCCTTCCCTTGCACCTGGCCACCCAGCCCTCCCCCTTCTCCTCTGCCAGAGCTGCCTTAGGATACTCCCAACGCTGGCTTGTGTTTCGGTGTGTCTGTCTGAACGCCACCCCCCGATAAAGTCCTCCTTAATCACCTCCTTTAAATGCCTCCCTCGTCCCCCTTCCTCCCCCCCCAGGCCCCACCCCTGTACTCTCTCGGGCTGTGGCTCTGTCCCCTCTAGACCCCGTCTCCCTCATCTCTGCACCTCCAGGATCTAGCACAGCTCTGGATACCCCCTTCTGACTCAGGGGCTGAACGCGGTGTGTGGACGGCAGCAGCCCCCTTGTCCGTCCTGCGCTCCCCTACCTTCTCCTGGGCCGGTGGTGACGTTGGCCTCGATCTCTGGCCCATAGGTGAAGGTCTTGGCTCTGATGCGGAACCTGTAGGTCATCCCCTCGGCCAGGTCCTTCACCTTCAACCACAGAGGGCTGCTACCCTTCACGTCCACTGTCACGATCTTACTGACGCCTGGGAAGGAAGCACAGCATGTGGTGGCTGTGGGGGGCCTTCAAGTCAGGCCACGCAGCCGTGTTTCCCAAACACGCAGTCCTGCGGGCCGTTCTCGGGAGAAAGGGCTCCTTGGCAGGAGAAGTTTGAGAAGAGCTAGGGACGATCTGTCTGGGGAGGACGCACAGGGTCCTTCAGCATCTGGTGGGAAATGACCCCCCCCACCTGTTTCACTGAACCATTGTACCCCAAATGTATTCTGCCCCCCGAATTCCACAGAACTGGAATCCCAAGGATCACCTTCTTCTACAGAAGCCCTGAGTCCGGAGTTGGAGGGGAGACACCTGCAGCCAGTCCCTACAGCTGAGGACAGCCTCGGGTCCGCCAGCAAGGGCCGGGGGCTCACAGCGGGCCCTCCATCAACTGCACCCCAAATCACAGCAACTAGAGGGGAGGCTGGGATGGTTTTCAGGAGGTCGAGGTTTGTGCTCCATGCTTCATGGCTCAAATCCTCCCGACCACCAGCCTCCCCAGGGGTCGGGACTGGGGGTGATCTCCCGTGTCCTCCAAGCACGGTGGTGGCCCCTAGGGGATGGGCTTTGCAGGTCACAGCCCAGTGCGGGCCCTCCCCTGCCGTAGCTTTGGTTTGTTGTTCTACTGAATGAGGGTATTGACGGCATCATGGACAGGATGTTATGAGGCTAAATAAAAGAGCACCTGGCACCCAGCATCTGCCCAGACTATCTTACGAGTAAATAAGTACCCAACGACAGAGCGATGGCTGCTCGAGGGGTCCTTCTGAAGGAAGGAAGTCACCGCGGGGGACCCAGAACAGCAGTGCTGGGTACCTGTTCCTTGACATTTCTGAGCAAGTCCCTCATCGGTCTGCGCCGTGGTTTTCCCAGCAGGAAAGGGGCGGGGGTCATCGCTGGGTTCTTGTGAGGCCTGTTTGCTGCTGACCTGAACCCTGGGCTGAGCCGTGGCACAGTGACACCCAGGGCCTGACGGTCTCATCAGGGGCCATCGCAGAGTGGATGGGACTAGGCGAGCGCACGAAGTTAGTTAGGCGGCCAGGCCGTGCCGGACCGAGGAGCGGGAAGGCCAGGTGCTCACACCTCTCAAGGGCTGGGAGCCCCCTGGGTAGGTCAGGCAGAGGCCACTGTGAGGAGAGCCTGTCCTGTCCGCCTGCATCTTGTCCCCGTGACCTCTGCCCTCTCCTTCCTGTCCGAGGGAGAGACGGCCCCTTTCCCGGGGCCTGCACCTGACCACATCTCCTGGCCCGCCCCCCCGCCAGAGGCCCAGAACACAGTGCCGCTTTGCAGAATGAACTAGCTGCTGGTAGGCAGGTGACGGTGGGAAGACTGAGGGCCATTGTTCCCTCGGCTGGCCCGGGACTGCTGGCCCCTGTGGCTCTCCCAGGGCTCCGCCCCTTGTTCTGGCCAGGCTCTGTAGTCAGGGAAAGGTGAGAGTGAGGAGGTGACCTCAGGCCATCAGGCCACCACCTGTGAGCCAGCCACACCCCCCGAGTCCTCGCTGGGCTCTGAAACTGGACCCAGGCAGCCAGAAGCCCCTCTAAGTCGATGGCCGTGCTTTCTGGGCTCGCCCTGGGCTCGCTCACGTCAGCGTGGGGCCGGAGCGCTGGCAAGCATCTAACATCCACGGTCAGGGTTAGCACGGCCTGGCCTGGGCGCCTGGGAGTGGGGAAGGGTCCACCCAGGGCCCTGGAGGAAGGGGTGGGGCAGGGGCCACTGGGGGCTCTAAGGACAGCTAGACGAATGGGGCTCCCGCTGAGAGGAAGGTGACTTGCACATCGGGGTTCTTGATCGGAGGTTCACAAGGGAACAGGGGTGCAGCGACTCCCCCAAACTTGTGCTTTCTGGGGAGAGGCTCAAACAAGTTCCTGACCCCACGAGAGGCAAAGACCTATCCAGAATAAGGCTCCCCCATCTTCCTGGGCCTGACAGCAGCTTGGCCACCAGGCAGCGCCGTAACTCCTGCAGGCTCCCTTCCTTTCCTCCTCACTTCGGCCGGATTCGGGAGACCTAGGGTGCTGCTCAGCTTTGCCCCCCGCTCGCTGGTGGGGAAATGCTCCTTTCTCGTCTGGCCCCCGTGTCTCCCTTTACGAGCCAGGGAGACGCTCACCGCATCTGACTCTGTGCAGTGACCCCGGCGAGAGAAAGGCCTTGGGAGCCGGGCTAGGAGGGCCCCACTCACCGTCCACGGGGGTGCAGGGCTCGTACACCAGCCGGTAACCTTCCAGGACACCATTGGGGAACTGCGGGGCCTCCCAGGACACGTTCACCGAGGTTGTGGTCAGCTCACTGAACTTGACCGAGCTGGGAGCGCTGGGGGCTGCAGGGAGACAGCAAAGGGTTTGTTTTGTTCTCACATGGACATTCAAAGCCCTGCTCGGCTTCCAGAAACCAGCAGGGGTGGTTGGGTCTGGGCCCCAGGGAAGAGAGAGAGGACAGGGGGTCGTCAGAGGTCATCCGTGCCCCTCCCCTCCCCCACTGACGCTGCTAGCACTCTCTTTCCAATACCAGAGTCCAAGAATGAGGAGGAAAGAGAACGGCCTTTTCCCTAAAGTTAGGAAACTCAGTTTCTTCCTGCTAAGTGGTCCTGAACCTCCAGGGTCGCTGTGGGGCCAGGCGAGGTCCTAGCTTTGTAGGGCTTGTCTTTGGCCTTCCCTGGTGAAGGCAGGGCCACCTAGGCCTCAGAGCATGAGGCAGGTGGTGAACAAGAAGATGATGGACCTGCAGCCGTGTGGCCTTTCTCCGGTCCCTGGGGCTCCAGGGCTTGTCACGGAGAGACCACGCTTGTCAGAAGCAGCCCATAACAGGGACGGTCAAACCATCTGGAAGAGATGCTTTCTTGGCCGAGAAGCCTGGAATGACCCTGAAAGCCTGGGGGCCGTGGGGGACTCGGATGGGGAGGACAAAGAGGAAGGGAAGGAAGCGCAGAGCTGGCTTCAGGCGGGATGACCACGCTATTATTATTGTCCCGTGCCGCCCCCCGCACTGAGCCGAAGCTAATCTGGACCCTGCTTCCGCTCCAGCTCCGGGAGGCAGCCCCAGCCCGCAGTCTTTGAAGGAGGGAGGCGAGCTCCAGGGGCCTTTCCTGCCTCCGCTAAGCAAGAGGGACATGGGTCAGAACACTTTGTCCTGCTGCCGGAAGCTTCCAGGCTCCCAGGGGCTCACATCCGCCCCATGACACTGACGGAGAGTGGTCTGGACAAGCAGGCAGACAGACAGATCAGACCCTCGGGAGCCAGTGGAGGAAAAGGGCTGCCCTAGAGCCATGGCTTGGCCCCAAAGAGGACAATGCTTAAGAACTGACTCCACGGTCTGGTCCTCTCTTTAAGAGAGAAGCTAATTTACAGGCTGGGAAGCAGCAGGCTGGGAAGAATGCTGGGGGGGTGGGGGTGCTCAGGACAAAAGGCTTGCATTTAATGCACCAGGGGGGAGCTCCACGACAGGCGAAGGAGCTGCCGTTCAGTGAAGACAGCCCAGGGCCAGCTCACCTGCCCTGGCCTCCAACCTCTGCTCCCCGACTGGCGGGCCGGGGGGTCCTGGGCAAGAAGCATCACTGCCCAGTCCACCCCTACTCACTGAAACGGGTGACACCTGCCCTGCCCATGCCAGGGCTTCTGGAAGGAGCTAGCCTATCACTGCCCGAAAAGTGTCTTCGGACTCTATATATAGGCCCAGCTCTGCACGTGCGGGCAGCAGGGTTCTGACCATCACCATCCAGCCTTCTAACCGGCCTCCCTGCCTCCCTCCTCTGTTGGTCTGTCTCCCACACGGCCGTCAGAGCAAGTTTTTAAAAACATAAGCCGGATCCTGTTGCCCAACTGCTTAAACCCACCAATGATCCCCCAGTGCTCTGAGAATCCATCCCAGACTTTCTTCCAAGGCTCCCTGACCCTCTTGGGCCATTTCCTCTCAAGCCACACGGCTGTTCCTTTAATCCCCTCCGGCCTCGAGGCCTTTGCACCTGCTGCTCCCTCTGCCCGGAACCTTTCCTCCAGAGCTTCCCACGCTGGTCTCTTCCCACTCAGGTCTCAGCTGTCAAACCTCAGAGGCCGCTGCAGGCAGATCTGTCCAAGGCCACGTGTCCACCCCTGCCCCCGTCCTTCTACTGCTCGCACTCACCGCCACCTGAGGCCGATTCACCTAGATATGTGTTTATGATCTGTCCCACTCCCTAGGGTGGGGACCTTGACTGCTGTGTTCCCAGCATCTAGCACAGTGCGGGTCCCTAGAAGATGCTCAGTAAATACTTGTAGAAGGAACAAAGCCGGCGCCGTATAAGAAAGCTGGGTAGGAACAAGGTATGGGCAGAACTGGGCTGGCGGGCTACAAGATGTGGGGAGGGCTGGGGACATCTGGGGGCTCTCTCCAAGGCTCTCTGGGGACAGCCTCTGTCTTCCGAGCCCTCTCATGTAGGCCCCTCTTTTTGGGCTGTGCTCTCCACCTCTGGAGGCCGTCTCGTGGGGCCTGGGTGTCCAGCCCAGACATCTCAGCCGATAAGACAGCTACTCCCACCACACCCCCCGCCCCAGGAGCACAGGTGCCCCCCACCGCCCTCCCCCTCCTGCCTCTCTCCCCCACCTGCTTGCTGGGTCTGGCCCCGGGTCGGGGGGCTCCGAGGCCCATCCCCCGCGGCGTTGAAGGCTGCCACGCTGACCATGTAGGTGGTATAGCCCGTCAGGTTCTTGAGCTTCACGCCGTTCTCCGCCAGAAAGAGCGTCTTCACCCGCTCCGTGAGGTTGCGCCGCTGGGCTTCCCAGAAATAAATCTGTGGGCACAGCCAGTTGTGGGAGCGAGGCGGACACACTTGACTCTCCTCCTGCCCCCCCCAGCCCCAGGGTCGCAGAGACACCTTCGCTCATACCGTCCACACCCCCCACAATGGGCATGAGTCACGCAAGGAACAGAAGTATTTAAGAGCTGTTTTAGAAACCCTTCCAGAACCTTCCTTTTCACAGCGAGTACTTCAGTCTCTGCCAGACTAAACCCCAGGAGAGCACAGACCCCACGTAGCTGTCTGCCATGGGCCTGGAGGGTTTAGCACAGCACGGGCCCATCGGCCCTCGGAATACCGTTAGCGGAGGAAGAAGCCAATTCTGCTCCTCCGGACCCTGAGCCGGGGAGGGAAGTGCAGGGTGGGTAGACTCCTCCCCAACCAAGAGGAGAGTGCAAGGACCAGCTCATGGCATCACCTGGGAGCTGGTTAGGGATGGGGAATGTCAGGCCCACCCGGCACCTGCTGCGAAGCGCCTGCCGGTTAAGGCCCCTGGTGATTCACCTGCCCGGGAATTCACCTGCAGGCCAGCCTGGGGCTGAACCCCAGCGCGCCATTCATGAGCACGGTGACTTCACCAGGTGACACCCCTGAGCCATGGATTTGTCGGCTGACTAGTGGGGCTTAAGACACCCCACTTTCCAGGACCAAGGTGAGGAGGAGCTAGGTGGTAAGGAGTGAAGAAGGTTTTAGTCCACCTGCTGCGCTCCACATGGTTCTGATTACTTAGTGCTCAGGGGCAGCGAAGCTCAGATTCCTCACTGGTGTCAGGAACTTTGGGAAACCCGCGGGGAAGCTGCCAGCCGCAAGCCCCCGGGGACGATCAGCGACTATTTGGCGCCACCTGCTGGCCAAGGAGGAGGTTTCTGCGCGCGAAGGCCGTCAATTTCTCAATTTAGCTTCCTCTGCTAAACACAAGGGTCCCCACCTGGCACTCAGGACATCTTGTCACCCAGAAATCCTTGCTTTCATCTAACCCCGCCCACTTTGAAAAACATTCTTCTGATACGAGTAGATATCAGAGAGAAAGTTGATAAGGTTGTTCATTAAGTACTGTTCACAGTGATGGGCACACAACAGTGGACAAAGCTCCTGCTGAATTTGGGGCGTGGGGGGAAAGGCCAAGGTGAACGTCAGAGATCTGGGTGTTATCAGCACACAGATGGGACTTTTTGAGTGCACATGGAGACAATGAATGTAGAAAGTCGCAAGGGGACCTGGGGGCTTCGATGTTCGGGGGTTGGGGAGAAGCTGGGACAGCTAGCATGGGAAGCGGAGAGAAGAAAGCATTTCTCGGAGGAGGGACAGGTCTGCCGGGTCAAACTTGGGTGCTGAGCCAGGTAGGGTGAGGCTTGCCTCTGACTTCCATTGAACTTAGGAATCACTGAGGCCTGGACAGGAAGGGCTTTCGTCGGGGGTGAGAAGCTACTTGGAGCCGGCTGAAGTGATCCTGGGAGGACAGGGATTGGAGGTGGCGGGCCCAGAAGATTGTTTGGAGGATTTCTGCTATAAAGGGACCAACCAGAGACATGGCTGCCAGCCCAAGGGGCAAGCGGTCGTCATAGCGCACACCAACAGGTAGCCGGGTGTCTACTAGGAAGTGCACTCCGCAGAGGGCTGCCGTCTTGGTGGGTCGGGCTCCCTGGTGTCTCAAGCACCTAGAATCGTGCCTGGCACCCTGCTGGGGCTCCGCAGAGGCTTGCTAATGAATAAGCACCTCATGCAGGCTGGAGCTGGTGGAGGATTCCAATCCCCTGCCCTTCGGGCTTCATCGGCTCCAACAGGCCAATTTCAGCCTCAGTTAAATCAGGTCCACGGCCACACGCCGCAGCTGACTGGGAATTCACACTTTCAATTTTCACCGTGCTACACCGCCCTGGTCCACTTCCCCTGCGCGCATCTCCTGCATCCCGGTCTCATCCACTCCTCCCCCACTGCCCCTCCCCTCCTCACTCCTAGCTGAGGCTCCTTCACCGAGAAGCAATCAGAGGAGATTTTCTCCACAATCTCCGGGCGTCTCCTATACCTCCCCGGGTCCCTGTGTCCACTCCTCTGCCTGCCTCCCTCCATCACGTCTGCACTGTCGGCTCCTCCATAAGACTATGTTACATTCGAGCACGAAATCCCAGCCCCTCTCACCTCCTCCAGGACCTCATCCCCCACCCCCCCACAGCTTCCGCTCTTCCTAGAATCACATTTCTCCTCTTCCTGGGATCATTATCAGCACATCCACTAGCTGTCATTTCTTCTGTCTTAAAACTCCCTCTGTTGACTGTTTCTAATTCCTGTTTTCCTTTTCCCTTTAAAGCAACACTCCTTAAAAGGGGTATCTGTACTCGCTGCCTCCCCTCATTCTTTCTTGAATCCCTCCAAGCCGGCATCCCTGGCCCCCAACCCTTGTCAGAGTCACCTGTAAACTTGAGCTAGCTAATGCAATAATTTGGAGCTCAGCAAGCTTTCTGTGAAGGGCCAGGTAATAAATATCTCAGGTTTTGCAGGCTACACATCTCTGTGGTAACTCAAAAGCAGCCTCGGGCAATTTATAAACAAATGAATGTGGCTGTGTTCCAATAAAACTTTATTTACAAAGACAAGTGGGGGGCCAGATTGAGCCATTGGGCTGTAGTCTGACAATTCCTGCACAGTTGCTTCCTAGATTTCATCTTACTTGAGCTCTCAGTAGTATTTGGTACATCAGAGTCCTCCTTCCTCCAGGAGCACATTCTTTTTTTTTTTTTTTTAAAGATTTTATTTATTTGACAGAGAGAGACACAGCGAGAGAGGGAACACAAGCAGGGGGAGTGGGAGAGGGAGAAGCA